AAAGCTATTTAACAATGTATTCTTTTTTATAATTACATATTTAGATACAAAGTTTTTGCAATTTAAAATATTGGATGGTTTTAGAGTGGATGCACCATAGTTACCAAAATTTGCTTTTTCAAGAATAATAACTATAAAGATTTGACTATATTTATTTGTAATTGAATTTTTAGTTATTTTATAATAATATATTTTATTGTAAGTTTATTTGCATTTTAGAGCAATCTAAATTTAATTTTAAAAAGTTAATTAAATTGAAAAATAAAAAAGCAATAATATTTACAAATATTTATTTTACCTTATTTATAAACTTAAATATAATTTTCTTTGAATTATGTAATAATTTTAATATAATATTACCTTTTTTTTTTATTTAAATTTATTCTTTATATGATCTCATTCTTTATATATATATATATAATAAATTATTCAACAAGATTGCTTTATAAATTAATTCAAAATCTTCTTTTGCAAGATATTTAATATTGATATATCTTTTAAAAGGAATTCATTTAAATAAATTATATTTACCAGCAATTTTATTATATTTATTTATTATACTATTAATATCTTTATTTTTATTAAATAACTTAATTCATTTTTGATATAGAAAATATCTATAGCAATATCTATTTCTTTAATAATTGGTATATTTACTATAATTATAAGTATTATAAACTGAACACTCATTATAATATTCATATTATTATAGTATGAACTTTTACTATATTGATTATCATATATTTTATTAAACAATTCATATCATAATATTATTGAAGACAAAGTAATATAAAGTTAATTTAATAATTTTAGCAAAAATAGCATATAAATTATAACTAAATTAACAATATAATCATAGCAAAAACAATAATATAATACTATCAAAACAAGTAATTAGATTCTAATAAAAATAGCAATAATATCATAACAAAAATACTATTTATAAAATCATTAAATATTATAAAAGCAATATAACTTACTTAGTGATTTGAAATATAAGTTTCTAGAATATAAGTCTTAAAATTTCAATAATAAATTAATAAAGTTATATTTTGTATTAGTTTTGATCTTGAAAGATAAATCATTAATTTATTATATTTGACTTGAAAAATAGTTACTTGAAAGACTAATTGTTTTGGATTATAATCTTAAAAGTTATAAAGAAACTTAATAAAGTTTAGTAAAATTATTAGATATCATTTTAACTTATTACAACATAAATATCTTTAATAATAGTTTGAGTTTTTTTCACTACAAAAACTTAGTTTTTTCCACCTTTTTAATTAATAAAAATATGTAAATAATGCATAAATAACTTAAATTCCATAAAAATAATAATATTCTTTAAAATTATAATAATTATTATTACAATTATGAATATTGTGAACTGAACATGAAAAATAGAAGTTATCATTATTTGCTTCTGTTTGTATTTATACAAATACTATATATATTCAACAACATGCATTATAACCAAATTTTTAGTATAAATTGTGATAAATCAATGAATTTGGTAACAGAAGTACATTAAATATTAATATATATATTTTTATTTTATTTAGGATATTTTAAATCACATAACTTAGTAATTATATATAAGAATAAAATAGTATAAGACGTGAAATTAAGAATTATATTTTATTCATATTCTACAACTTTATTATCAAATAAATAAAAAGACACATTTTCAGAAAGACAATATCTAATAATGTTTTATTCCATTTTTTAATACAACAAAATATATTTTCTTTTGGTACACTAATCGTACAGAAAATAAACACTTGCATATAAATATTTATCTTGCTATTTTTCGTCTACTTACAATCTACTTTCCATTTCTACTATCGGTCCAATCCAAACTTGTTGTCCTTCAAATGCTGAAGAAAGAACCTCAAACACATTTTTCGCATATACGAACTCAATGTCTTTTCTAATTCGTTCGGGTACATCCCCTTGCACATCTTTCCTATTTCCCACAGGTAAGATTACTCTTTTGATGCCGGCTCGATGGGCGGCGATTACTTTTTCTTTTATTCCACCAACTGATAATACTTGACCGCGTAATGTGATTTCACCGGTCATTGCGGTGGTAGGTTGAACTCGCTTGTGGGTGAATAATGATACAAGTGCAGTGGCGAGTGCTACACCAGCAGATGGTCCATCTTTATTAATTGCTCCGGCGGGAAAATGTATGTGAATGTCCCGTTCGGAGAAATACAACGATTCTGTTGACGTTGTTGTTATGCCGAGATGATAAGCATGGGTTCTGACCCATGATAAAGCTATTTGTGCTGATTCTTTAATTACTTCACCTAATTTGCCTATATAAACGAATTGTTTTAATGAATATTCATTGAAACTGCTCATGTTAATAAATACCGAATAATTACCTGTCAATTGTAAGTTACCCTTTCCTGCCATCTGTGTTGCTTCTATGAACAAAATACCACCCGAACCAGACGAAGTCCATGCGAGACCAGTTACCACGCCAGGCTTAGATGCACGTTCAGCTACTTCGTCTTCATATTTTTCTACCTATATTTATTCATAAATTAGAATGTAATATAGCAACGAATTGTCGTAAACTAAAGATAAAAAATCCAAAGCATTTATAATGTCTTACCCCTAATATCCTTTCTAAATCTCCAAGCTCTATTTCGCCATTATATTTCTCAACATTACTTTTATCCTTGGCATCTGCATATTCTACCGCTTTAGATCTACAAACGCCGGCAATTTCCCGTTCCAAACTTCTCACCCCTGCCTCACGTGTATATCCACTTGCGATCTTGAGCATAATTTCATCGCTAATTTTTACGTGACCTGGTCCAAGACCATGAGAGGCAATTTGTTTTGGTAGTAAATGCCGTTGAGCTATATTTATTTTCTCGTCAAATGTGTATCCAGGCAGTGATATAAGTTCCATACGATCTAGCAAAGGTGCTGTTATACTATCTACATTGTTTGCTGTTGCTATGAAGAGCACTTTTGATAAATCTAGCGGAACATTTAGATAATGGTCATTAAAGGAGTTATTTTGCTCGGGATCAAGAACTTCGAGTAAAGCGGCTGAAGGATCACCGTGATTGCTAAGATGTCCAACTTTATCGATTTCATCTATTAAATAAGTTGTTAGTATATTTTTTCGAGTCGCAAAATTATATACAGAAGGATCAACAAAATTTACCTAGCAAAATCACAGGATTGCTAACAGCAACTCGCCTCAAGGCTTGTGCAATCAATCCAGGCATAGCACCTATGTAAGTGCGCCGATGTCCTCGAATTTCAGCTTCATCTCTTACCCCACCCAATGAAATACGATGGAACTTCCTGCCAAGTGCATTTGCAATACTTTTACCCAGTGAGGTTTTCCCCACACCAGGAGGACCCAATAAACATAATATTGGCCCTTTCATATCCTCTTTGAGTTTAAGCACGGCAAGATACTCCAACACACGTTTCTTGACTGTTTGAAGCCCATAATGATCATCATCTAATTGTTGCCGCGCTTTTTCAATGTCCAATATATCCGATGTAAATTTACTCCATGGAATTTCAGATAGCCATTCAAGATAAGTACGAACAACTTGATATTCTGCTTGTGTTGGGTGCATACGTTTTATACGTTTTAATTCCCGTTGTGCAGCTTTTTCAGCTATATAGTTTCAAATATTGACGATATTCAATTTGTTAGTTAATTATCATTTGAATCCATATAATTATAGTGATAGCACGAGTATTAAAAAGTGAAGCGAACATGAGATTATCATTATTGTTATAGCCGACCTTCAGGTGAAAGTCCTGCTTCTTTAAGTCGTTTAGCCAAGTCAGTAACATCATCATCTTCAGTCGAAGAATCATCTCGTTCTCCTAATTCATCTTTAATGGCTGCCATCTGATATTAATATTGAATTAGCATTGAAAATCGAACGGAAAATAATTATAAGTTAACATTCACCTGCTGACGAAGGTAAAATTCTCTCTGTTTTTTGCTCAATTTTCCTTCGACTGTCGAATGAATTTTCTGCGATATTTTAAGAATCTAATTACCGCCAATATTATAAATATTACCATTGGCACTTCGAAAGTTATCACTCTATTATTTTTAATAGACTTACGTGAATCTGTCGCGTCAAAAGGTCAATAGCTCGTAACATTCTGGTTTTTAGCTCCACAGCATCCAAAATGTGTAGTTTCTCTTCATACGTCGATTCCAACGTACTAATTAATAAATCGGCCAACGGACCAGCAGCTGCACCATCAATAAACTTTTGAAGCTGGGTGAGTAACGGAGTGGGCAATTTAAGATCTTGAAGCATGGATAGTAACTCACGACCAGTCGATTTCAGAGAGATTGCAAGATCCTGCAATTCTTGATCATCTTTTGGAAGGACTAATTGAATATAAATATAAATTAATGAGCAAGCGTAAAAGCTATATTAAGATATTATCATGCATTAATTCGCCAATTTATTTTTAGTTATTTGAGACTTACTTGCTGGTCTTTGATGATATTTATATATATACCAGCAAAATTCAAATCCATTTCCAATCTTTCAAAATATCTTTTAAACAGGCGAATTAATGCATAAAAATAATAACTAAAATAAATGTAAAATAAATTAAATGGTAAAATTTCTTATCAATAATACCTGGTTCTGGGAATGAAGTAATTTCAGCCTCCAAATAAGGCTCCAATTTTACATAAGAATCGACTCGTATACGAACAATACCTTTAATTAAAATTTTAAATTAGAATTATTTCGGAAAACTAATGACTGATTAATGGTACTGACCTTCAACCACAGCCATGAATCCTCCTCCAACAGTTTTTTCAAGCCGAACTATACGAGCAGCACAGCCGAAATGATGCAGATCAGAAGGCTGAGTAAGACTAAGAGAGGATGAGTCATTTACATTCTTGTTTTCAGTCACTTTTTTAGAATTCGAAGAAAGTGGATTGAAAGGTAGCGTTGAGCTAGATTTATTTACTGCAACATCGTCATTTTCGCTGACTGGAGGAGGTTTGAGGGGAATGCAACCAACAATGTGCTTTGACTCTCGGTTGTCGGTAGCTCTATATATTTTTTGCATCAACTGTACGGTATCTTTACGTCCGACTTGAAAACGAAGAACTAAGCCGGGAAGAAGAACTTTGTTCTTAATAGGAACAATAGGTATTATCTTTGGGATTTGTTGGTTGCTATTCATTGTACTAACGTTATTGTTATTAAGATGTACAAAATTTTATTATTAATTACGTTAACGTTAATGGTTCTAATTTGTATAGATTGGACTAATTTGACTCTTAATGGCGTCATTCATTTTGTTGATAATGATAATTGAATTTCCGAAAATGAAAATGTTATCGTTATTGTGTCGGGTATAGTACGAAGAACACGTTAAATAAAAGAAATTACATTGACAGTTATATAGATCGGTCGCTAATTTGATTTAATCATATTGATCCAGTAAACCATTCTCTAGCACCTTGTCAATTTTGATCATCCATTCGATTAAATCTTGCATGACCTTTTGCGAACAATGTTCATGCAACATATCATGTTCGCAATTCTCGTACAATATCATGGTTTTATGTTCGTCTGGTGTCTGAGCTTGGGCAAATAAATCGCGCGAGGATCTATCCTCGCATACACGATCACTCAGTCCGTGTTGTGTCAAAAATGGTTTTTTAACAAGGCCAAGCTTTTGTTGAAGCCACGTAATGCCATTTAAAAACATAATACCTGTACAGGCTCTCATATTTCCATGATAGGTTTGAGGATCTAGACAAAAACGTATTGTTTTTATATAATAATTTATAATTTTGGGCGAATGCAACATAATAAAAAAGTATACCCGAAAGAAATGCTTGTTCTATAGCTGGATCCCAATGACCTTTGTCACGACTTGCAGGAGTTAGTGGTAATGTACCAAGTGGAGACGCAACAATGACTTTAGCGATATACTCGATAATCTTAGAAGGTCGACTAGCACCAGCCACATAAATTAACGGACACAGTACACTAAAAGCGTCAATATCTGTGGGATACTTAATTGCATAAGAAATCGCGATAAATCCACCCATCGATCCACCTCCTAATATCACTCTTCTTTTTTTTTCTTTGTTAAAAGCTGTATTGTTCGCATTCTGTTCCTTGACATGAGTAATTACCACGCGAACCGCTTCTGTTAGTTCTTCCCAATCTTTTATGCAAGCGTGCAAACCACTCGACCTTCCAAAACTCGGCAAGTCTATAGAAATGACACGAAATCCTTGTTCCAGTATTTGAAGGCAGTGTTGTGAAAACCGTCCACCATAATCATTTAACCCATGAAGCCAAACGAAATCAGTATCGCGTTGTTTGACAGTTGACAAAGACCAGGTTTGATAATAAATGAATCGGTCGAATTCGCCTTTGAAAGGAAATGGAATGGAATAGTCGGTGTAAATGTATGGTTCTTGACGTAATGTTTGTTCGGTTGGAGAGAAAGGAAGAGAAACACGACCATAAGTTAAATCTACAGAGCTCGGTTTAAAAAATGCTTTTTTTAGCGGTAAAAGTAAGGCGTCGCAGAAAGTAAGGACTGAGTTTTGAATTGCATTCACGATAGGATTAGGTGAAGCAGCCATCGAAGTGTATTATTATTAAAGTAAAATATGTATACTAGATTAGACTCCTTAAGTGTATGATACAATTGTGATTTGGGGCACAACATATTAGATTCAACTTGATTAGGTACATTGTTCAAGCGAAATCACGTGAATCTATAAGTATTGGTGATAACGATAGATACTATCTTTTTTTCAGCCATATGACGTATTGTATTTTGGTGAGGCAAGGTTTATCTGTGGATAAGTGGGCGAGTGCGGATGGTGAATGACACACAAATACAATCTGGCGAAATTAATTGGACGACTGAGTGCACAAAAAATTAGATAAAAAGCGCAACTAAAGTCCAACGAAAAAACAGACTTACATTTTTTCTTTGCTCAATAATACAACAATGGTAAGTCGTATGTCACTTTCACTGTTAAATGTTCTGCACATTCCATAGTCCTAGAAGGGAAGAAAAAGGAGAATGAGGAATTTAGCCTGCATTTGTGTTAACCGTTGACTATCTTTTTTGAAATAATATATTTAATTTTTTCTCAATATTCTGAACAAATTCTGGTCATCTCAGGCTGATCAATTAACCGAAGAACAGATTGCTGAATTCAAAGAAGCATTTTCCTTATTTGACAAAGACAACGATGGTACTATTACCACTCGTGAATTGGGTACGGTTATGCGTTCGCTTGGTCAAAATCCAACGGAAGCTGAATTGCAAGACATGATAAATGAAGTGGACGCTGATGGTAACGGGACCATCGATTTTCCAGAGTTCTTAACTATGATGGCTCGTAAAATGAAGGACACAGATTCCGAGGAAGAAATAAAGGAGGCATTTAAAGTTTTTGATAAAGATGGTAATGGTTTCATTTCTGCTGCTGAGTTGCGACATGTAATGACTAATCTTGGTGAAAAACTTACCGACGAAGAAGTCGACGAGATGGTAAAGTATTTGAGAATTATCAGTATTTTATACGATTTTTGGGTAAATGATATTGATTTTTGACTATATGATAGATTCGTGAAGCTGATGTCGACGGTGACGGTCAAATCAATTACGAGGAATTTGTCAAAATGATGATGACAAAGTAAAATTATGTATTAACATATTTGCGCTTACATACGTTATTATATTTTTTTATTTGGAAGCGAGAAACTTTATTTTAACAATACCTGGAGACAGTCATTGATTTACACGAGGGGCTTAAACAATACATTAATAATAAACTTGTGTGCGGTATCTCTGTAAATTATTTTACGTATGGATGGACATCCATTTTTAGACAAAGAGACAGAGAAACATACACTTTAAATTTTGCATTTTTTTATTATTTACTGTAACATTTTCTTTCTTTCTTTCATTATTTATCTAGCATATAATAAAATTCAGAGATTTTCATAATACTTTTCTGTTCGGAAATGCGAAAATTATAATTTACCAAAAGTAAATAAAATTAATATTACTATAGTCCATTTAATAACTGCAAAGCTAGTTTTTCATGATCTTCTAAAGTTTCTGGTTCCTCAACTTCCAAAATTTTTGGTCTCTTATTATCACGCACTTTCTTTCCGTCGGCCTCTTCCTGATCAGAAGTCTCTCTACCCGAATGTAAGGACTCCATATTCCGTTTATTTCTCTTTTTATCATTAAAATATATTTCTTCCTCTTGGCTCTCTTGATATTCGTTGTCTTCGCTTTGAGGAGTAACCAATATATTGGTTTCAGGACCAAGATCCTGTGCTTCCATTTCTGCTTTCAATTTAGCCTTATATTTTAATCTTTTTTGCCTACGTTTTTCCTTTGCTATCATCTTATCGATCGCATCTTGATTCTTCATTGCTGACAATTCTTTTTTGACAAATGCTTGTTTTTGCACAACTGGAGCACCCGCCGCTAAAAATTCTCGTTCGTCTTGAAGTTCGTAAACTTGGTGAGGCTAATTCATAAAATTATCCAATGATTATGTATAAAAATACTTGATTGAATCCAAAGAAATGCAAAATGAAGATGAACACCTATTACTTACATTGCCTTCATCATCATATATTAGCTTCTGACCTTTTATTGAATCTTTAGCCCATAGTTTTTTAGATGTAGCTTTTAATAATTTTCGTTTCGAGATCGGTTCACCAGTCTGAAGATTACAAAAAATAATTATTAATTGCTAGTTTAATTAACACTCGATTAATAAATAAATTACCTTTTGTTCTGTCTCATCTGGCAATTCATGATCAATCCGCTTGAGATTCAATAAATTACCATCTTCAGAGTCATCAATACCAATTTTATCGCCTTCATGATCAACAAGTTTTTGATAGTGTTCTGATAACACAGTTCTATTTTTCCTACTGAACAACTTTTCAATTTTGGTTTTTGGTTTATTTTTGCTTTGTTTATTTTGCTCAGCTTCTTTGGTCGATACTTGATCGTCATTTTCTGAATTAGATGCGAGAGTTGCATCACCATCATTAATACTATCCTCTTCATCTGTTGCTCGCTCGGATTCTGAAACTTGGTTGGGTTTTTGTCGTGTTGCATTCTTTGCTTCGGATTTCTATTCGATTTTGTCATGGCAATGTACTTAACGTAAGTTAACTTGCGAAATCTTAATAAATTGAATACTTAGCATCAGTAAAAACCTTTATAAATTTTATTTTTGGAGTACCAGGAAGACCAAGGGATTCGGCATATTTCTCTGCAGGCAATTCATCAACCTTGAAAATTAATTTATTCTTTTGTAGATAAACAGATCTCATATACGACTTAAATGCCTGATATCAATAGAAAACTATGTTAATATATATACACCTTAATGATTAAGCGATAACCTTTTCGTACCTTTTGTCCTAAATATTTGATTTCCGGATCGCGAAAACATAAAGCCTGCAATTGGTTTTGTATATTAATAATTTTACTCGACTTCACATTGATTTTCTCTATCGGAACTTTCTTTGTTTCCAATGCTTCAATCATGGCTTCTTCTTCGGATGGCAATAACATTAATAATCCTTGTCCCGAGGCTTCATATCTTGCCGTACGACCTACTCTATGAATATAGGTTTCTGCATCCTCGGGTGCATCAAACTGAATCACCCAATCTACCGCCGGGAAATCTAATCCTCTTGCAGCTATATCAGTAGCGAATAAAAATGCGCATTTTATGGTTGAAAATTTATTAAATATTTCGACTCTTTTTGTTTGTTTTTGCTTTCCGTGGAGATGTAGTAATGGGACGCCTGGATGCATTTTGCAGAATGTTTCGAAAACGAATCTGACCTGACGATTTAGACACATAAATATTGTGAATTGGTTAAGTAGATTCTAAAGAAAGATAAATTATACATTAAAAAATCGTTGGTTGTTTACTTGTTTACAACTCGACAAGAACACCAAAGCTTTTATTTTTAGATGGGATTTAATGAACGAGAATAAGTAGTCGAGTTTTTGTGGTAATGGACATATTATATAATGTTGCGTGAGACGTTGTGGAGTGCTATGCTTCGATTTTTCGTGCACCGCAACATAATTCGGATTCTAAGAGTACACCAGAATTAGAGATATCTAAACATCATGATAAAAATAACGAATAAGATTTTATGTATACCTTTAAGCTCAATCTTGCTAAATCTTTAATAGATTTTGTTTGAGTCGCTGAAAACAGAAGAGTCTGTCTCTGTTTTGGCAAATTCCCTATTATAGCGTTCACAGTTTTTTCAAAACCTAAATCGAGAATACGATCCGCCTCGTCCAATACTATATACAATCGAAATTTGTAAAAAAAAGATTAAATAACATGTATAATGAATAAAAATTACAATAATCCTAATTTGGTTTTACGGACCTAGCATTTGTAAGTCACTGCAATCAAATCCTACAGTTTGATCCATGTGCTGTAACAATCGTCCTGGGGTGCATATGAGAATGTTCATTCGATTGATACGCTCTTGCTCGATGTTTACATTTTTTCCGCCAATTACAAGACCAGCAGATAATGAATGCTGTAGACCAATAGTTCGAAGAACTTCGAATATTTGGACAGCCTGTCCATCAAAACAATAATTAGTTAAAGTAATATATTATGCACAGTTATCTCGAAAAGTACTCACTAGTTCTCTTGTTGGCGCAATGACGAGGGCGCCTAGTCCATCGAATTGTGTCCATTTTTTTCGATAGAGCAATTCGATAAGCTACAAAGAGTCGAAGGTTTAGTGTCATAATTAAAACCATAACGAAAATATTACTTTACAAAAACTTACGGGAATCAAAAATGCCAAGGTTTTCCCACTTCCAGTTTTGGCTGCACCTAAAACATCACATCCATTCAAGGCAACTGGCAATGCTTTTCGTTGAATCTCGGTCATTTCTACATAATGTGCGCTGTTGAGCCCTTTTAGCGTTTTTGAAGATAACGGAAGTTCGTAGAACTTTACGAATTCCTTGTCATTGAGTGACTAAAAAAGAATTTTGAATAAAATAAGCAACTAAGACATAAATTGGCTTTCAGAAAATAGTAAATATTAACCAATTCTTCACATTTAGCTTCCAAATTATTTATTTCATTAAACTCTTGTTCACGTTTCTCTTTGCGGGATAAGGGTTTACGTTTTGGGTTTCGAGAGCTCATTGTGAATTTGTTAAGAATGAAAAATATATGATGATCAGTTTCTGCTGCCAATTTGTTTATTAAAATAAATTTCTTCGATGACTCATACTTGAGTGAATTCAATATTAAAGTTACCTATTATCGTTATCGTTATACATATTCAAGTATGCCACCTATCCATTATCGGAACTTCGGTCTGCAATTTGCAATTTTGTTGTGTACCTGATCAACCGAACCTTTGGCATTTTTTCGATATTCGATTCTTTAGTGACTTTATTCTTGATCTAAGTATGTGAAACTAGACAAAACGATGATTAAACGAGGAAATTTATTATTCTTATTATTATTTTTTAACGCAACTTTTAATGTCGGTGTCAAGTTTTATTACTAAAATCACGCACTTGAAAGAAGATTATATCTATATATGTATAGAGTTTTGCGTGAAAAGGTCACGTGCGAATTTTTTAAAACAGGAATCATTAGCGTTAGCCAGAACCAAAAACAGTTGTGTTATCGCTATCTTTGTCAAATGACACTGATGAATGATAATATCCTGATGGTAGTACCAAAAAACTAAACCATTAGTATTAAGTCTGTGAGAAATGAAATATTACCAAAGAACTTGGAAATAAATATATTATCTTTTATTAATTCACTAATTCACTGGAACGCAGTTAGTCCATCCGGAAAAAGAAACAGCTAGCTGTGCAAAATTAGTTTTTTGAGAGTAAGTTAACCTAATTAAGTAAATTATGCATTGAATTAAACAGGAAGCTTATTTAACTTCTAATTCGTTGATTTATCGGGGAACATGAACTTTAGGAACAATACATACAATATGGATCCTTCTGCAACGCTTTTAAGTCTTCTTCACAAGAACCAACCCTCCTCTTCAGCTGACTCGTCTTTGGCTGGTCAACTGAGTCCAACCGCATTCTCTCCACACAACTCGCAATCCACGACGACTGTTCAGTCAAACCCACTATCTCAACAAAATTCTACTGTTAGTAACAGCACTAGTACTGCGTTATCACTTTTCAGCATGCCTCAATATCCACCACACACTTCACAGCAGCAACAATACAACGGGTCAATTGGTTTCATGCCGAGCATGGTTCTACCGCCTACCACTGGTGTTCCTCCAGCTCCGCCGCCTCCACCAATTCAACAAGCTGGTGGATCATTAACCCAATCGAAAACTCCGCCGCCAGATCCGTTGGCTACCTTGCTTCAAACCTTGAATCCAAATCCGATACCGATGGCTCCGCCACCACCACCGATTCCTAAATCTGTTGTAACACAGGCTGAAGTTCAAGAGACAAGAGCATCTAGTGAGTCTGATTCCCCTTCTACTTCATCCGTTCATGTAAATGGAGATTCTTCTTCGAATGGAAATCCCACGTTAACTATAGATAAGGAACCATCATCTTTGTCATCATTGAAATTACCTTTTTTTGGTCTTAATCCATCTGGATCGAATATAAATGAAGAAGAAATGTTCGTACTAAATAATTTCCTTTAACTTTTCAAATTGCAAAATCATCCTTATTATCATCAAATATTTAATATCATTACTTAAAACTTATCTAGTCAGGTTCAGACAGAGCGCATAATCCCGGCTTCTCCACCTTTAGAATCTTCTGTAACTCAGATTACTAATCATTCCGAACTAGAAAACAATAAACATACATCACCTTCTGAAAAATCAGGTGTTGAAGAACGGATAAAAACACCGGTGGAAATAATTGATTACAATAATCTTTCAACGCATGTAGTAAACTTGACATCGTCCAAATTAACTCCAACACTTGAAAAACAATCACCGTCGCCAGTTATAAAATCAATGTTTACCTATACAAATCCATTTGATTTGTTGAATAAGTCACCGCCTTCTCCTCCTCCTAATCGAGAATATAATCATATCCAATGGGCATCCAATATACAATCTTCGCCTACGCAAAAAAAACGAGAAATTACCTCGCATGCTAAAGAAGGTGGAATGTTTTCGCGTCCTTTGCATCAGATAGAACCGTTTTTATCCGGTTTATCAGCATGGAACGTTCGTGCTACTTCTGCACCGAAAACTGAATTGAGGTAAAAATAAATAGTAAATGTTAGCTTGTGAAATAATTTGAGATCAAATTTACTGAATTTTGCTATTAAAGTCCTCCAGATGGAGTAAGACTCCCACCAGGTGATATTGTGTACAGTGCAGCGGAAAGAAATGAGGCAGTATTATTTACAAAAGACTTGAACATCGAGACTATAACCCTTATTCCGAGTGATCTCGAATATCGCGTTGGAAAATCATTAGCTGTTAATGGGCAATATATTTGTTATACCGTTAAAGGTGATTATTAAAATTGAGAAGATTCGAAATCTATCTTATATATGCTAATTGATAAATGTTTCTATGTATAGCTGGAAAAGTTCGAGTTATTAGCTCACTTTATGGCAGCAAAACATTATTGCGTAATCATGAAAAACCAATTGTTGACATTAGTATCCAGAATTCATCTATACCTGATATTGACGCTCCAGTTGACAAGCAATTGCTTCTCGCAATTGGAGCTGATAGTAAAATTACTGTATGGGAGCTTTCAGATGCACCTCAAGAACAGAGCGCCGAAATTCCGTATGTATTAATTGGATATATTTAAATAATTATTTAATTATTAGATTTATCAATTCTTTGTTTCTTGGTCATTTGTAGATATAAAACGATCCTTGAGATTGATGGGAAGGAGTTGACTGATGATAATCATTGGCGATATCTTCGTGCTGTTTGGCATTCTGTTAATCGTAACATGTTTGCTGTGGCAACAAACACCAATGATGTGCTTATTATTGATATTAACAAGTTATTGGATGGTGCAGAATCCGGCAGTTTCAAAGAACATGAAATTTCTGAAAAGATTATTAAGACTGATCGCCATGAAGAGGTTAGTCAGTTAACGTTTACTCAAATTCCATAGAATAGTATTTATCTTGCCTTATTAAGTAAACCAATGATTTTTTTCTCATTTCTTAGACCATTAGTGACATGACATTTTCATTTGATGGAACAATTCTTGTGACTGCAAGCTACGAAAATATAATGTTTTCCGAATTAGAGATCAACAGTGATAATATCATTGAAGGAGTTGGTCCGGTTCACAGAATAATTATGAGTGGGGAACAAGTTAGCTCTGTGTTTCTAGTTAATCCTCAAGATTTGTCCCCTGAAGCGACAATTCCTCCACTGAAATGTAACTACGCGATAATTGGTACCGAACGTAATACCACTATACATCTATACGATGTTGTCGAAGGACAAACCGTGCAGACAATCAAATGCTTGCCGCCTCCTGTACGACGTCCATCCTTGAACAAAGCATACCGAAAAGAAGATGACATGTTCAATTGCATTGATTTCGATCAGCATACACACACTTTGGTTCTTGCAAATAGTGCAAGAATATCTATTATTGCCTTGCATTTGAATATTCCTCAAGGAAAGATAGACGCTTACCATATTTCTCCTGAACAGACAGATATGGGTATTCCAGGACTTATTGAAACTGAGCAAACGGACTCACTTGAAGAGTCTTCTTTTAATTCGCCACAATTTGATTATCTAATTGAATTTCCGGTAAATCAATTGGTTGGCAGCTTCGTCCTCGTGTCAGATTCGTCATCGAGCTCTCATGAATCTGAGGGCCTTTCTTTCTACTGTATTCAATCAAAAGCTGTACAGCAATATTACATCTCTAAAGAACTCCTGTACCCGAATAATATTGACCATTGTCCGATATTTGAGAACGTGACACGATCAATCAATCAAGTTGAGCAAGACGACCGGAAAGTAACTCAATTGGACGAAAGAGGTGATTTTAAAAAAGAAGAGCCCGAAAAGAATGTTTTTAAATCATCTGTTAAATCCGAAAATTCACAATATTCTAATAATGAAGAAAATTTGACGGAAAAAGATAATTTCAAAGAAACAGTTGTTGGTTCAATTACGACTGGTACTGAAAATACTTCTATTGATGTAATTGCTACTACAGAAACGGTAACCGTTGAAACGGAAACAACCGAAAAAGTGGAAAACGCCTCAGGTAATAATAACGAATCAGCTATTAGTAGTAATGTCGTTGTCTCTGAAGAAACTGAGGCAAAAGGATTGGATCAAAATAACAATAATAACAACAACAAAGTCGACACATCATCTGGTAATAAGCTTGGTTCAGCCGTCAATGGAGCTATTTCAAAAATAAAAAGAAAGGGTTTTCCTTCTTCATCAAATCAAGCTGAAACATTATCTGATCCCGAGAAAAGTTCAAGACGTAAAGAATCGCGTCGAGCAGCCATGGAAAGAGAAGGAGGCGCTGAGGGTGAAACTACAGGTAAATCCGCTGGGAAAAAATCTCTTGACGGTGTTTCTTCCAGAAATAATGGAAAACTTTCTGGTGGAGCTGAAAAATCGCGAAAAAACAACGATAATCAACTCGAATTAGGAAACAATAATAGAGTTAATTCCGGAGGAAAAGTTGCTTTTTCAAACAATCAACAGCAACCAACCTCTAGTGGATATGATTCCTTGACAGGTCATGAAGGCTCCCAGCAAGCACTCCGTCGTTCGGCGCCCCCTGAAACGTACAATAACCAGAATCTCACCAGAGAACTAAAAAAGATTGAAGATAGTTTGACCAATAAAATTGGGAAAATGTTTGGCAAAGAAATGGATAAACAATGTTTGTTATCGCTCTTTTTTATTATTATTGCTTTTTCCACCTTGATCATTTCTTGTAATATAACATGATACAATGTCTAAAAATAAAATAATAGATCAAAGATTGGAGGAAGAACGCAATTCTCATCAAGCCGCTGAAACAGAGCGTCAAGAGACTATTCTCAAAATGGTTTCTGATGCGCTCACAAAGAATACTGCTAAATTCTTAGAATCGACAATTCGCAGTGAAATTCAAAATAACGTGGTTCCAATGCTAAATAAATTGGTGGCCACTTCAGTTGATAAGCAAGTTAATAGAGGGATGGTTGAAGCTATTAATAAGGTGTGCGCCAGATATCCCTTTTGTTATTAGTCAATATAATAAGCTAGGAATTTTACGCAACATTGATTATTGAATACTCTCATGTATAAATTTTAGAGTATTCCAGCGGCTATTGATAAAGCTGTGAGTGAAAATGTCCAGCGAGTTCTCTCCAAATCTTCAGTGATTGATTCCATTGCAAAAAGTGTCTCCAAGTCCATGAGACCAGTCATCGAAGAGATATTCCGGGAGAATTTCACCAATATGCTTATTCCGTCATATGAAAAGGCTACCAACGCTATGTTTGACCAGATTCATCGAACTTTTAATACTGGCTTACAACAAATTACACAAAAATCATCGCAGTCTGGTTCAAGTGTTGATTCTAACGCGATAGCCAGACTTCAAACATCAATCGATCAACTCACGATGTCGATGTCACAATTGCAACAAGTACAACAGTTACAAGCGAGCATGCAAACAAATCTTATTAGTCAATTGACTGCTCCTCATATTGATCAACAACAACATCAAATTGGCCGTTCATCTACCGAATATCCTTATATATAAATTTAACACGAATCATAATAAGAAATTATTAGCTTGAATAAATTATTGACCTTAACAATGAATGCCTATTTATACTTTGCAGCATTCAATAGCACGTTCACTTTCTGGCGAATTGAAACGAATATTAATTCCTGGTCCATCACAATCGTCAGGAATAACTCAAGAGCCTTATAATTATCCATCTGTCAGATCATCTTCACAACCATTGCAGCAGCATCATCAATCTCAGCCACAACACCATCATTTGCAACAACAGCAGCAACAACAGCAGCAACAGCAGCAGCAAAGACAACCTCTTTCCCCAATTGAATCTGCGGAATCTATCGAGCTGAAGAATACCATAGACAGATATTTGAATATGGGTGACTACGAAGAAGCATTTTTAAAGGTATTGAATAATAAATTACGTTTAACACATATGTATATGATAATTAATAACGCATTAACATTCAATTTATTAATAGGCGCTAGCTTCGAGTGATTTATCAATTATACTCCGCTTATGTAACAAAGTTAGCCCAAAAAATGTATTCTTCCCATCGCGACCAGTGTTATCACAGCCCGTGATACTCTCGCTAATCCATCAACTTACCATAGATCTAAACAAGTACCCTGACTTAAAATTTGCTTGGATAGAAGAAGCTTCGTTACACTTGAATCCAAAGGTAATATTAATTATGCATATTTTAATAAATACTGTTATTTTTTAATACATAATAACCCATTATTATTATTATTATTATTATTAGGATCCGGCAATTAGTAGCCACTGTCAACGTATTTTAGTGATTGCAAAACAACGACTTGTAGATCGTTACACTCAAATCGCGTCCGAGGAAAATCAGAACCATAATCTGAAAACTATTACGCTTCTGATTCATGTGCTGAATAGTATAATACGTGACTAGATGGAGACTAGACGGAAACTTAGAAAAGCAAAAAGGAGGGGAATTTTTATTTTTCTGTACTATTATTAAAATTAAAATGGATTAGTGAAATTATGTGAATGTGTATATGTAATTATTTATTGCTGTAACCACTTTTTGAGGAGATTTGTTGGCTTTGTTGGCTTCTCGCCATTAAAATTGAAAAAGCCAAAGACATTTAGTAGCAATCATTGTGGTTATAATTGTTAGTGGTATTATTATTTTTCTGTAAATTATTTGTTTTTTTAAAATATTTCGATAGAGCAATAAGAAATAGATTAGGTTATAAATAATTATATATTTGACAATTCTTGACAAAACTTTCACGATGAATGTGCTTTCTACTAAGATTAACGAGAGCTAATGAATGAATAACCATCATTTACAATAAACAATGTCTGAGGGTAAAAGATTTCGTTGATTTAATTTTACTGGTGAATTGTCATCGCGAAAATGCAAAGAACCAAATCAAACTTATTGCATTATATTCTTGCTTGATAAGAACCATGCTTTGGTGATATGGTTGCAAAAATGAAAAAGGAGTATCATTCGCGAAAACCTTTCTTATCAAGGGAGTTATTGTTGATTATGGTATTCCAAATCAGTACATATTATCAAATTTCGAGTATTTGGTCCGAGTTAAGATCCAAAAAGGTTCAAAAACTCAACAGCCCTAAAGAACCAACAATAGCTTTTAATATTATGATTTATATTTTTTTTTGATAACGATAAACATTACCAATTTTGGTATTTATTTCGTTTTAGAGCGTGCAAGTGAGTTCGAAATTCAATTTTCAACAGAATTTAGAAATTTTCAACTTTAAATTCATTGTTAGCATATGATGATACTTTCTCCATGTTCTCTTATACGATCAGTAAATAATATATAATATAGCTAACGAAACTAAATGACATTGACAAAAATGCCATTTAATGGAATGGATAAAATCCTCAATCAAATCAAGTTTTTCAATTTTCCGATAAAAAGTCATTGGAAATGAGCAGATTGTAGTTTTAAAGAGTCTATCTAAGTGACGAGAAACAAGCCGAATAAATTTATCATATTGAAATGTTCGGAATAAAATCTCGAACAGAAATTTTTCTAACTTGACTGGTTAACCACAGATAAATTTGGTCAAGCAAGGATTAAAAAGTGGTAAGGCATAACTAATACTAATTCGAATTTATTTGGATGCCAGCATCCTCGAAAATTAAAATTGCGGTTCTAGCTTTCGAACGAAATTTCAAAGACCAATTACGGAGTATTAAGTTACATTGACAAGGGAGAAGAAGAAAAAGGTGAAAGAGTATAGTTTTTTTTTTTGCGAGAAACCATAATTTTTCTGAAAAGTCTGAGATACAGAAAACTTTCTATGCAATAAAAAATCCAGATATATATAGCCCCTGTCTTATTTTAACAATATTATCCACGCAATCTATATCGATACTTGTTTTTTAATTCAAATTGGTCGGCACATAGAGATTCGGCACTGACAATTCAGTATGGTATACCCTTGGAAAAGGTTAGGCAAAGATTCAGGATTAGAATAGTTGTGCCGAATCGTATACTCCGTTAAAAATAATACAGTACAGAACCAAAATTTGTACCGAATGTGTATATTCGAAATTGGTTATGGTACAGTAACGAATATATGTAAACTCGTATACATCGGAAATATAGGTTATTTTGTCACCACCACAATTATTACAAGTAATTTTTGGATGATGGAATATAAAGCAGTAGATAGAGATGTGTTCAGTAAAGGTTAACTAACAATTGTAGTGCTTCATAATGGGATGACTTCAAATCCAGCATATGTGACATAACGCAAACTATAATGACCGATTATGAGATTTATGCATCATTTAACCATGTTAGGCGAAGTGCTTGGTTTGCACTCGATGTTTTTTCCTTTAGCTTGGTTGCAAAGTTTTTTCGTCGTGAGAAAGCAACAGAGAATAAATATTCTTCTAAAAGCTTTCCAAATTGGTAAATATCAGAACGTGTTGTGTATTTATCACCCAAGCTAGTCAATGAATCCCCAGGTACTTTTCCCGGTTTGCCTCCGTGCTCGAAGTCCACTAGGATATACTTGCAGTCCGATTCACTGGGGTCGTACACAATATTTGTGAACAAAGTTGCCGTTATGTAACGCAGCCAGCCCGTAAGCACACTTCCCGCCATTTCTCGAAGCTGATCTTCTCGTCAGCGAGTAACGAATGACTCGCGTCTTAAAACAACCTTATACACTCCATCTCCATACACTCCATTTTTGCTTGCTTTCTTTGTAATGTGAGTCATCGTGAACCCGAACGAGTCCCGGTTTGCCTCTGGCATGTAGGTACATTTGTTGCAGGCATTCAATGCGGTCTTGCAAATCATCCGCATATAGCAGATCACGTAGTCGTTGCGGGAAGGATGCTTTTCATGATGACGACATTGACAACCGTACGGAGAACATCAACACGCCCCACACGGGTTACTAATATCGAACTTTGGTGTAGGAATCAGTTGAATATCATGTCTTGCACTGCCATCTGATCAGGATGCCTTGAGCAGATAGAAGCCAATGTATCGCCCTCCTGCGGCGCAGCAAAGCATGAAATACACATTGCCAAAGGATAGTGGATCAAATATGAAAAACTTCTCTAAAAGCTCCCTTTCAGCTTTGGGAAACTCATCAACCTTTCTTCACCTTTAAATGCCAGTAGTATGTTCCCGAGATAAACTGGACGAGTGGAATCCTTTGTCGTTGTTGCTCTTGAACAAACGCATAAGTCAGTAAGCATATTTACCAATGGAGCCAGACTACAGTAACATATTGGTAGATAAATTACGAGTCTTGCTTGTTACGATCAAATGTAGAGTGATAGATCTGGGTCAAGAACATCTGTAAATATTTCAAGTGGTATTATGATTAAAGAATCAATCGTCTAATGCTTCATATCCTCTGATATGCTACTTAAGAAGTGCTTTCCAACATAGTCGCTTAATATAATAATTAATTCATTTAAAAATTATTATTAATCAATTTTAGTTAAAAATTTTGAAAATCATAAAATTCAAAAACATATATATATAACCATTTTTTTAATTCTATCATTTGTATTAAATTTATTTTTATTTTATCTTCTATCATGTCATCTATTAATTTTGAAAATATTCCACTGAAAATTCAACAATTGGCAATGGAATTACAAGCAAAAATTCAACAACATTGTCCAGAACATTAATTCATTATCGATCATAATGGATCACATTTTATCACTGTTTCACCACTTTATGAAGAAACAAATAATAATGATAATGATGAAAATAGTAACTCAACATCATTAACTGAATTTGAAAATCGTACTATTAATGGATTTATCGACGCAATGGCTAATTCTGAACAAACTGAAACATCTTCAACATATTTCTCTGATGAAGTTTCACTATTAATTTATGCTGACTTATTCTCAACTAAACAATATACTGAAATTACTCTCTACTTTGAAATTGGACGAATTCTCAATGATCTAACAATTGGATTGACCATTGCACAAACAATGATTGAAGTCAAATGCTTGTTTAAGAAGAATATATCTTTACAAAACACTACAGCAAAAGCATTAGTCACTCTAAGAATTTACGACTACTTCAAAAATTTCTCTGGAGCATTAAACTATAAAAAGATTAATAAATATTTCAAACTGAGTTTAATTGAAGACTAAACAAATGAAATAGTGATAGACTCAAAGAACAAATTGTTGAAATATTTAAACAAATGGCAATGAACTCAGAAGAGATAAATTTAGATAATATTTTAGTTTAATTATATTATTTTTACTTTTATTTTTTATTTTACGGAGTAAAATACTTAACAATGAGAGTTCTGTTGTGATTAGATATTTCATAATCACAAATAATTATTTCACATGATTACTTCACATAATCATCTTACATGATTGCTTCACATGATCACTTCGAATAATTATTTCAAATAATCATTTCAACTAATTATCTCAAACACTCCAAATAATCATTGCAAATAATTATTCCAAATAATCATTTCAAATGCTCTGAATGATCATTTCAAATGATCATTTTATAATTATCAAATACTTATAAATACAGCTTGTATTCTAGCTTAGAAAAATAATTAATTCAATTCAAGTTTAGTTTTTATTCTTTTAATAATCCTTTAAATAGTATTTTTATAATCTCTCATCTTAATTGCAAAATTATTCTTATATTTGTTTTATAACCTTTTGTCACTACTGCGAAGTTATATTATCTTATACATTTTTGTATTTGATTTCTCATCTATATTGCAAAGTCAATAATAATATTGAATTAATAAAAGAAAATTACATCTTACTTGTTTATAAATCAAACTTAAAAGAAACACTCAACTTATTATAAATTGAATTATAAAAGATATATAATTACCTTTGAATCTTTCTGGTCTCATTCTAGCTAACCAACAAAATGAACATACATTACCTATCTTTAGATAACTTAGTGAACTTTCTCAACTTAAAGTTATTTAATACATCAACTCTTCCACCTGACTCTATCATGTATACTCTCGTAACAGAATCTAAAATCATATTAAAATGGTAATAATACATAATCCAAATATTATTATAACTAATTTTTATTATAATTATGTCAAGTTCTTATATTGAATTATTAATGATATTGAATTAGTAACAATATTATTTTTTATCTTATCAATATATTTTTTAACTTTAATTTATAATATATATTTAGTTTTAGTATTGTCTTATTATTATTCAAACACACTTAAATATTTATCTTATACTTATATTCTTGTTAGCTTATTATTGTTAATCATACACTTTCATCATTTATATTGTTGTATAATGACCTTTCGTTATAACATTTAATATTATTGGATCATAAATATCTCATATTTTATTGGATAAAGATTATATCACGTGAAGCGAACGAACAAGCGAACGAACAAGCGAACAAGCGAACAAGCGAGCGAACAAGCAAACGAGCGAACGAACGAGCGAACGAATATT